CCTCACCCCCCCAAAAAAAAAAAAATCACTCCCCTCCCCCTTTAAAAAAAAAAACAGAAAAAAAACGACACTCCCATACCCCCCCCAAAAAAAAAAAAAAAAATCACATCATTATAAAAAACAAAATCACTAAATCAAAAATAAAAAAAAAAAATCAACACTCCCCCCTCACTACCTAAAAAAAAAAAAAAATAAATAAATAATAAATAAAAAAATAAAAAAAATAACCACACCCGCCACCGTCACTCCAAAAAACCAAAACACGACCGCGGCGCCGGAACCACACTATCCCCCCCCAGTCAGTCCGGGACGCTCACCGCCGCGCCGTCCACCCAGGCCACTGTCGGGAAGAAAACAAGGTGTCTGACTGCCTTCCTCGGGCCCCTGGCGAACCCGCTCTCCTGTCGCTGAAATAGACCGGGCCGCTGGATCGCCAAGGTTAATTGTGTCCGAGGGAGAGAGAGAGTTAGGGAGAAGGAGGGAGAGGGAGAGGGAGAGAGTTAGGGAGAAGGAGGGAGAGGGAGAGAGGAAGGATGGAGGAGAGGGAGAGAGTTAGGGAAGAAAGGAGGGAGAGAGTTAGGAAGGAAGGAGGGAGAGGGAGAGGGAGAGAGTTGGTAAGGAAGGAGGAGAGGGAGAGAGTTAGGAAGGAACGAGGGAGAGGGAGAGGGAAGAGTTAGGAAAGAAAGCAGGAGAGGGAGTTAGGAGGAAGAGGGAGAGGGAGAGGTTAGGAAGGAAGGAGGGAGAGGGAGAGAGTTAGGAAGGAAGGAGGGAGAGAGGGAGAGGGAGAAGTTAGGAGAGAAGGAGGGAGAGAGTTAGGGAGAGGGAGAGAGTTTAGGGAGAAGGAGGGAGAGAGTTAGGAAGGAAGGAGGGAGAGAGTTAGGAGAAGGAGGGAGAGGGAGAGAGTTAGGAAGGAAGGAGGGAGAGGGAGAGAGTTAGGAAGGAAGGAGGGAGAGGGAGAGAGTAGGAAGGAAGGAGGGAGAGGGAGAAAGGAGGGAGAGGGAGAGCTAGGGAGAAGGAGGGAGTGGGAGAGATTAGGGAGAAGGAGGGAGAGGGAGAGGAGAGAGTTAGGAAGGAAGGAGGAGAGGGAGAGAGTTGGGAAGGAAGGAGGAGAGGGAGAGAGTTAGGAGAAGGAAGGAGGAGAGGAGAGAGTTAGGAAGGAGGGAAAGGGAGAGAGTTAGGAAGGAAGGAGGGAGAGGGGAGTGGGAGAAAGTCAGGAAAGAAGGAGGGAGAGAGTTAGGAAGGAGTGAGAGAGCAGACGGTAGCCGGAGAGAGAGGAAGAAGGAAGAAAGAAAAGGAGAGGGTAGGGGGAGGGAGATAGGGAGCGGTAAGCAGAAGAGAGGGTGTTGCGAGGAATATGATAGAGAAGAAAGATAGTGAGAGGGTGA